CCATGCGTCGAATCCTGTCATCATCAAATCCAAGGCTAAAAGTGATTGCTATTCGACCAAATGGTAGCCTTATATCCCAAATGACCTTACGCAGTCCATTGCCTCCTTGATCTCATGACTGTAGTGGCGCTCCTATAGTCTTATCACTGGCTCAACCAGATCTAATCCATCTGGGTAATTCCGAACTGGTAGGTACTACTGTTGCTTCCGCGTCCTAACAACGCGCTCATGTTATCTACCAACCTAGTGAATGTTGCGGCTACACCCACAGACTTACATCACTCTAGCACTATCTGCTAACCTTGTGAATTCTACGGCTACACCCGCAGACTTACAACACTTCTCACACTATCTGCCAACCTGGTGAATGCTACGTCAACACCCGCAGACTTACAACACTTCTAGCACTATCTACTGCTAGTGAATGCTACGGCTACCCCCGTAGTCTTAGAACACTTTCCATGCTATCTGACTGCTAGTGAAGCCACGGCTACCCCCGTAGTCTTACAACACTTTCCATAACAGGTCGAACACGCACTCGACCTAACACTCAACTGAACTTGAATTCTAATTGGACCTCTAACCTGGTTCCCTAAATCAGTTATCCGATGCCAAGGAAAAGTGTGAACCAAATGTTGGAACGTTTTCCGAACTCCCAACTCACAATCCTCAATCTAGACGGCCACTCGGTCGCCTTTCTCCTTATCGTGGATTCGAAACTCATCCTAGTTTCACACCAATTTCTGCTCCTAAGTACCTGATCGATTCTCCCCCACTTAGATTCGACTAAATCTTCATGACACGTGAGAATTGAAGGATTCCCAATACTTCTTGCTTTCCAATAACCCATTGATGACAATCTGTTCTTACTAATGCTAGCGATCAATTACCAGTTAGACCCTAAGATCGCCCATCCTCTGAAATCTTGAAAAGTATTCTTGAAATCTGGTCCAGTCTGACACCTCAATCCACCTTTCATGCTGATAGCTGGAGGCCTTAATCTTCACCCTGGCTGACGAACCCTCGTTCCCACTTCCAATCTTGCAGCACCACAGAACTCTACCGATCACAACCCATGCGAAAAATACAATTCTCTTGAACATCCAATGACCAACCACTTATGCATCTAACACCCGCAACTGACACCACCATCTTCATACTACCAGTCCCTTTCTAGAAATGGTAGTTCCTTGAACTCCTAAATTCTTCCATAGGCAATTGTCAACCATACCCGAACAAATGATACAACCATTGTACTCTGACTTCACTGGAGAGCTATTGCTCTAACCCTGACCTAATATTCTCTAAATAGTACTCTTGCATGGATCCTGACATCCAATTAAAAGTAGCAGAAAATAACACATCCGCAATCATCTGAATGATTCATGATCACCTCCTCTTGAGATACCTCGACCATTCTGGGGACATGGTGCAAAACTCCCTTCCGATCTCGATGACAGGAACTAACAATAGGACCCTCCTTCCTGAAGGACTCTAAGGATTCACAGGCTTGGGCTTCAGATGAGTCCCTAACTGTCTCACGACAAATATGTACTTTGAACCGAGAGAACACTAAACACCCCAAACCAACAAAAGGGAAACGATCTTACACTAACCTCTAGTAATTCACGGTATGCAATTGGCATATGACGATATTTGATGATCTAACCCAACAGGAGCAAAGAAATAAACCAGGGATACACTTACTCATCCTGCTACAGTATCCCAACCACAACACAATTCCCACACCAATGTGCAGATAAAACTGAAAGAAGGCAAGGTTACATACCCTCAACATTGCGTGCTGGAGTTCTGCCTTCTCCTGTCTGACACTACAGGGCCTAACTCCTTCTGCTGACATGGCCAACCCCGCTACACTTCTAGCATCCTAAACCCCTGGAATGTCAAACTCCCTTGTGTACTTTCCCGCACGTGCTGCACTGACTCCGGCCCTACTGGCCTTTCACCCGATGATCAAAAGTCTTGGGTCTCTTCCCGGGACCCTCTACTATACGCACCCGGCACGACTCTATCTTCCTAGAGGCTCCAAATCGATCTCGCATCTGCAAACTCTTGGAAGACATATCCTTCAGGGCCTGACACCCTGTCACGCTCACTAGCTCACTTGCCAATGGCTAAGTTGCAACAACTGGAACATACTCTGCCCCCAAATCAGGTCATAAACTCCTCCCCGAAGCTTCTCAGATTCTCCAAGACTCTCACCGATTCGAGTATGGATCGTGTGCTTTCAGTAGTACGGGCCCAATACTACCTTCCACACCTACCCATACTTTCCTCGGCAATCCTCCCGAATCCTCCAAGTCGCTTCCTGAAACAAATACATCCAAGTCTCACTAAACCTCACTGCTAACCCACTGAAACATATCCTAGGCTTTCCTAGGTTCCTGAACCCACCTAGTCCTCAGTTGCTGAAAGATTCCCAGTAATGTCAACTAGCTACCTCATGAATATAGCCACATGCAACAGATATCAGATAATCCTTCGAGTAAAAGACCCATCCTAGAACGGTTGGACTCAGACAAGATCTGCACAATAGGGTCAAGTCCATCACTCTGAGATTATCCAGCCTGTGTCCCATGTGACTTAGCATATTCATTTAGTAGCTAACTCACATCACTAAGAGTCCCACAAAGCACAAATCAAACAACATTCAGACAATGGAAAATCTAACCATCATACTCCCATCAAACCATTATATCCTTTAATCAGGAATCTGTACATGCAATTCAAAGGCTCATACAATCAGGCATAACCTAAACAGGCTATCCTATCACTGACGGATCAGTACTAGCATGCAAGTCTACAAGCACATATAATAGGCATATAAGGCATCCTCCATAGATCCTTAGACCTAATCTAGCATGCAGTTCTCATAATCATACCATATCATAACATAACATGTATGGGTATCTTGGGGAAAAGTTACTTGAGCTCGGCTGATTGCACGCATCACACACATTGTTCTTTTCAAAGTTCTTTTCTCTTTTCAAATTCTCTTCAAACTCCTTTTTATAAAATGATTTTACTTTTGAAAATTTTCATACCAAGTCCTTAGTTTGAGTTCAGACACACCCGAGAGTGTGCCCGAATCCCTCAAACCAAGGCTCTGATACCAACTTGTAACATCCCAAAATTCAAGACCAAAAATTTTGTTTTTAGTTTAACAATTCATAAAACCAACAGTGTAAAACATCCATAATAACATCACATGTCAAGACCCAAGTGTCAATAATCAAAACATGTTATCATAAAATAATATCAGAGTGTAATCCCAAAGATCTCATGTGTGGAAAACATAGTGTGATGCGCTGCGATCAAGCCGACTCCTTTCCTTTGAAAACGAGTACCAGAAACCAAAACTGTAAATCGTAAACACGAAGCTTAGTGAGTTCCCCCATCCTACCACACACCATACAATAACATACTACCAGGCGATTCTGGGGTACCTGACCTACCCATGTCAAGCCATTCCGGGGTGCTTGACATACCCAGGTCAATCCATTCTGGGGTGCTTGACTTACCCAGGTCAAGCCATTATGGGGTGCTTGACTTACCCATGTCAATCCATTCTGGGGTGCTTGACTTACCCATCGTTTTATCTCAACTGACTACTAGGGGCTATTTCACCCCCTACCACTACCACATAACAACATAACATAAACATATTGCTAGGCATGCATGGGTACTGACTAGCCCTTCGGTATCTTTCAACCGGTATCTGGGGACTATTTCACCCCTACTACTACTAACACATATAGCAGAGCATCCTAGCACGTAAAGCATATCAGATAGTGGCAAACCAGAAAATTATCACAAAGACAATCATCTCAAACATAATCACCTACTGGTGGGCTGGCATTGGTGCCTTAGACCCACCTCTACTGCATGGTAACTCACCTCACACTGCTGAAGTCCCGTAGACAAAACTCTAGCTGTTGGATGACAGGCTCTCGAACTGTCAATCATCAAAATAACACCCAATCATCAATTGGCTTCCAACATATACCCATAAATCCATGCTTGGGTTAAAAGACTGCTTTACCCCTATCTTAGCTTGATTCAAGCCCAAGGCCCAATCCAAAGGCCCAAAAGTCAACTATGAGTCAAAGCCCAACATGTGGCCTAATTTTCCAAATTGGGCCCAAACCTTTACATGGTCTTATTCTAAGGCCCAACCATTTATTACAGTCCAAACATTTAGCATTCTAATGGCCCAATATCTCATAATCATAAAGGCCCAATTATGGCTCACCTTTGATCCAATTTTCCAAATTGGGCCCAAACCCCTCACATGGGCCTTACCCTAAAGCCCATTAATTCATTCTAGTCCATATGATTGTTCTTGGATGGCCCATCAATATCCCAATCACCAAAGCCCAATAGAAAGGCCCAACTCAAAGCCCAAGTGAAATTAGGGTTTTCACATAAAATGACGATTAGGGTTAAGTGTTTCTCACTTAACCCATTAAGGACTAAATTCATTAAGTCCATCAATCTATTGGGTCAATCATGTAGTGTGGTCGGACTTAATACATAATCCCAATCCAGTCATCCAAAATGCGAGTCCCGACAGCCAAAAACCCATATATCCAATATTAGGGGTTTTTTAAACCCTAATTAGGGTTTCCAACCCAATTATAGCCCAATAGGCCCAAAACTAAGTCCTTAGATCAATTAGGGATTGATTATGCCCACTAGGGTCTCATAAGACCCATTAGGGTTTCATAAGTCGGGCACCACCCACTACCACCTCGGGTAGTGGTGGTCAACGGCTGCTCACGGCGGCGGCGGCCACCTCACGGTGGTGGTTACGAGTTTCTTTTATTATTCTAGCATCGGTTACAATATTACAAATCAAAAACCTAAATAACTCACACACATACTAATACAAACACACACACACACACACACACACAACCACCCTAGCGGTGGCCGGCGGTGGTACATGACGGCAGCAGCGTCATCGGCGGTACAGCCGCATGGCGGCAACGGAAACGAGAGGAACAGTCGTTGGAGTGCATGATGAGCGACGACATCACGAAGGGAAACGAGAAGGGGAGATGGTGGTACAAAACCCACCGAGTACAGCAGCAGCAGCCATGCCTCACGGTTTTCCGGCGACCCACTCGAAGATCTTGTTGTTCACGATGTCACTAGAGGTAGGGGATGGTGGTGTTCCAATGGCACAACTCGAATCCATTCATCCTTCACGGCGGTTTGCGGCGGCCCCGGAGATAGGCAATGGCTCACAACGAAAGGTGGTTGGAGTAGCTCCGACAACCGTCATGAAGCTTCTATGGATGGCGGCAGAAGGCAGAATAAGAAGAAGAAGAAGACCAGAGGGACGATGGCAGCGACACATAACGCGGCAAGGCTGCGGTTTACAACCGGCAACGGTCCTGTGGTCGATGGAGGCCTTTCACTGATCGTAAAAATAGGGTGGTGGCGGCGTGGGTGAGGGAGGCATAAGGGTGGGGGTGATGGTTCCACATCTGTTTAGGGTTAGGGTTTGTATGGGTTATATACCCGAGCCCTAAAAACTTATTGCCATAATGGAAAAAATAGTCCCTCCCTCTAGAAATCATTTCGAAATAAATCCCATATTTACCCTTTAAACCCCACCTTCTAAAATCCTTTACAAATTATGTTCAGAATTTACTCTTTAGCCCTCAACATTCTAATTTCATTTCAATTTAGGTCTAAAGATCGAACTTCAGCCATGTTAACATTTTTAGTCTCTCCTCCTCTCATTCTTTTCAACTTAAGTTCCAATAATTACCACGGAGCCCCTGTCTTCATAAATATTTACAAGTTGAATCCGGATTTTACACTTTTAACCCCTAATCTCTAAAATTGTGACAATTAGCTCCTTGAGACCAACACCTTGCCATATAATTATTGATTTTAGGTCTACAATTCGTTCATTAATTAATTAATTAATTTATTTAATAAATGGGGTGTTACAATAAATCATATATACGTATACATATATATATATATATATATATATATATATATATATATATATATATATCATTAGAAAGGTATCGGTGATGCGGTCGTTATAAGACTAGTGTTGAGTACTCTCGACATTAGTTTAGTACAAATATCATTAACTCTATTTAAAATAGTATTATAAAGGATTGTTTAGTCGTTTAAATAACTATAAGGTCATTAAGTAACTATAGAGGGTGAATTTTGAAAATTCAATTACTATAAATAAGAGCCTCTAAGCTCTCATATTTCTTGCACCATTCTGTTGATTCAAGAGTCTTTCTCTTCTTATCCCCCAAGCGTTTCGGTCTCTCGTGATTCAACTTCTCTTTCTGTAGTTTTATTATATTAAGGTGAGCGTTGAAGCGCTACAAGAATATTTTTAGAAAGATTAAGCGACAAAGTTTTGCCCCGCAGAGCCCGTCTCCTAGCTAAAATCCCCTTGTAAGTGAGTTATGCTTACCTTCTTTAAGTATAACTTATAGTTAAGTTCATTATCGTTATTATGAACCTATAAGAAATATATGTGGTAAGTATAAATTATAAAAAATATTATTATAATATCTTTCAACTACTCGCCTTACGGGGAATCTGGTTTGAAGGGCCGCATAGGGTTGTTGGATTTCAAAAGTGCTTAAATGCCAAAATGGTCCTACCCTCCGGTGTTTCATGTCTGGCCCCTGTATGTACATAGTGGTTGAAAAGTATTGTTTAACACTTATAAAACAATAAAGCTCGTAGACCTTGAGCTAATTAGTCGTAATAAATATTAGACTAAAACTTAGCAATAATAATGCTAGGTTTCGTCAAAGGAAAAGACGATTGTTTGAAGTGAAGCGTTGTCCAAATTTCGATTCATCACTTTAACAAGTGAGTGCGTAATTACTTTCATCTTACACATAGATATGAAGTATTTAATATAAATTACGTGCTATGTGTGTTCCTGATATCTATGCTAGATGAACGATTTATACATGTTTACGTGATTTAAACTGTATACGTATTTTTATACTTATAAATATATATTGGGTAGCGACGGGTGATGAGAGATAGGTGATCATAGATAGGTGATGATAAATAGGTGATGTGAGATGAGAGGAGATACCATAACCTTGACCGGTGATGTGGCGATGTAGTCATCTACCCGAGTATAGATGGCAACCAGAGGCTATTCTAGACAGTCATGTGGAAACACCATCAGGCTCATAACCTGTAGGTGATGAATTACGAGTTCAGACAATGTTGTAACTACATATTCAAGCGATGATACTCTAACCCTTACTATGAATTATGATTCCAGGCGATGTTGTAACTACGTATTCATGCGATGATACTCTAACCCTTACTATGAATTATGAGTTCAGGCGATGTTGTAACTACGTATTCATGCGATGATAACCTAACCCTTATTGGACACGTATTGAGGGAGTAATCCCCGAATCAATATTATCTATGCGATGTATGCGATGATCCTTAGGAAAAGTCCTTAGGAACAAACATATAAAGAAATGTGATGTAAGGAGATGAGAGGTAAATACGATGTAGGAGATGACCCTTAGGATAAATCTTTAGGGAAGATTAAATTAAGAAAATATGGATGGGTAATCGGGTTAATTGTTTGACATGAAATATGTGAATAAACAAATTAACTATATTATTGTGGGTTGAAAACCCTATGTACTCACCAGGTTTCCCAACCTAACCCACTCAGTTTATTTGTAGCACATGTGTCGATACGAAGCTACATTACACTGATAGATTAAAGGAGATGTAAATCATAAGTGTAAATGAATGTAAGGTCTGTTTATGCTTATGTTTTTGTATTGACGATGACATCCGAAAGTTTTAATATAAATAAAATATATTTCTTCGGAAATGCTTTGATAATATATCTATCATGTTTTCTGGGAACAAATTCCGCAATATTATTCTTTAAAACGAATACTCTGATTTTCAAATAAGCGTAAATAAAATTTTTAAAATGTCCGTGAATTTGGGAATGTCACAATGTATCAATTACACAAAAGCATTGCATAGAGTTTACCCCCTCTATGTAGATAGGTAGCTTTATCTTTCCGGCCGTATGCTTTGTTTCACCACGGAATCCTATTAGCACTGAGAAACTTTTGACTATTTCGGCTTCTAGGATGTCCATCCTTTTTAATGCATCTAGGGGTACAATGTTGACTGGGGATCCTCCATCGACAAGGATCCTTCTAACAAAATGGTTGTCAATATAAAGAGTGATGACCAGTCCACCATGGTGGGCCTCCTGGATATCTGTTCTATCCATTTCGTCGAAGGTAATCTCCTTCTCGTTCGTGATCGATGTATTCTTCTGAGGCCTTTCTTCCTTCTCCGTTTTTGACACTTTGGGATGTCTTTTTGCTGCAGAATAAGAGGTACCACAAATGTCAGATCCTCCAGAGATCACATTGATTCCCTTGACGTCCGCAGGAGCGGATCCTGGTTTTTCTAGGATCTTATGAGGATCCTGATCCTTTTCTTTGGATTTTTCTTTTCTTCTTCCAAGGATATCTTTGAGGTATCCCTTGCTACGCAGATAACTGATCTCCTTTTTTAGGGCTATGCAATCTTCCGTAATGTGACCAATGTCCTCGTGGTATGCACACCATTTGGACTTATCTTTCTAGGTGGTGGACTTTTCTCCCTTTCTTGGCCATCTTGATTTGTCTCCAAGATCCTACATAGCAAATATTAAACCTGAAACATCTATAGAAAAACAATAGTCAGTGATCTTAGGAAATTCTTCTTCTTCCCCTTCGTGTTCGAGGGCATTGACCCTATGATGATCAGGTTTCAATTTATAGGATCTTTGGACCGAGGAATCGGCCTTCCTATTGGGGTTTTCAAATGAGTTTGGTGGGTTGCTCCACTTTCGGATCTCCTTTTCTTCTTCAAGTCTTATGAATCTCAGTGCTCTGCTCCTCACTTCATCCATTCTTTTGCAAGGAGTCATTATAAGGCCTTCATAGTAAAGGGAGTCTTTCTTTAAGCCCATTTTAAAGGCTACTACGGCATATGTCAGGTCAATGTTAGGGATACTCAGAGCTTCCCTTCCAAACCTATTCATGAAATCCATGAGGGATTACTTAGGGTCGTGAACCACCCGATAGAGATCACTAGTGATATTTTTGAATGTTCTGCTACAAGAAAAATGGTTGTTAAAAATATTAAGTAAATGTGCAAATGAAGTAATAGATTAAGGAGGAACATTTAGTAGCCATTTCAAGGTTGATCCTATGAGAGTCGAACCAAAACCCTTGCATCGGCAAGCTTCCTTCAAATGTGTGGGAATGGGGATGACCTCCATTCTTTCCCTGTATTGTGCCACATGTTCTTCAGGATCTGTAGTCCCATCGTCAGTTCTTCAGGATCCGTAGTCCCATCGTCAGGCTTCATGTTGGGATTTTGGAAGCACTTTGGGACTGCGGTATCAACAATCGCCGGTGCAAATCTTGAGATCATGTGGCTTGTTGGGGATGCTTCCAGTATAGGTTGGACCACCCCGGGCACACTCGAGATCATCTTCCTTAATTGTTGATGTTCCTTGGGCATGACCGTGCTTATTCGTGCATCAACATCCATGGAGTTAGCATTAAAAGTATTATTATTTACGGAGTTACCATGATCCTTGTTATTGGGAGTAACGAAGGTTTCACCGAGATCCTAGATCATATGATTTTTCTCCTTTAGAGCTACACCCTAAGCTGGAGCAAGGGGCAATATTGAGGATCCTATCTCGCGACGGTTTCCTGAGGATCTTGTATTGTCAAAGTTCAAGATCTTGGGCTGCAAGATCGACGGTGCTGCTTCTTGGGGTTTGTGTATCTCTTCCCTCATTCTCTCCATTTCCTTTAGTATCGTCTTGTTGTCCTCCTTCTGTTGAGTAACTTGTCGTTCTAGTCTCTTCACCATATCAAAGAGCTCGTTATTGGAAATCGGTACAGGAGGATCCTGAAATCCTTGGGTAGCGACCGGAGAGGTGTTTTAGTTTGGTGCCTCGAAAGTTTTCTTGGGAGCTCCGCCTGGAGGTGGAGGAAGGTTTCTAGAGTAAATATAAGGAATGGAGGAAGAAGGTAAGGTTGGTTGGGTAGCCATGATTCTCGAACGATTGTGAACACCACGGCCCCAAGATGGGTGCCAAGTTGTTTTGGTCAAAAATCGATCAAGTGCAATTCAACCAAATTGTATGAGAGGCAGTAGTGTTAGTGTAATACAAGTGTAGAATAGTGATCAAAGTGAGACACCTGAGTTACAAGAAAGCCTTGGATCCTTTATCTAAGGAACCTGAGACTTCAAAATTATTAAGGATCCTGAATATGACTATGTGATCCTGCCCCTAACACATACCATAAGAATTATATTTTTGAAGTTCTATATGAATAGTAATAGGATCATTACTTTGAGA